CAGATGTATAAATATCAGAATTATCTTAGTAATTTGTTGCTCAGATGTCACAAAGACATGCATAGAATACTTGAGTGAAGAATATACTATGAGAGAAACAGAAAATGCTTATCCCAAACTGGTCTCATTTTCTCAAAACAAGCAATAGCCCCAAAACCTACTCCTGACCATCTTTTCCCAGAATGCACCATTATTGCTCCCACTTCTTAACAATGTTTCATTTCTAGTGCGAAAATTGTATTTCCAGTGACAAAAGCACCCTTGAACCTGTGTACAGCAACTCCATTCAGCAGCATCATATAAGTCGCAGGTGTCTTAGCAACTGTAACTAGAACATGCACATCTGTAAGCACACACACAAAAGTTTTGACGGGGGAATGATGCCTGGATCCCAGGGTGAGGTGTGGTTGCCCCTCCTGACAGATACAGGACTAATATTGTCCTATTCTGTTTTCTGTAACTAGGCTGTAGCCTTGGTTCTGACTGCTGTGAAACTGATTCAGTGCGGTTCCATGATGTGATCTTTATCCCAGTCCTTCTCCTTAGTATTAGCTAGCAATTTCTGGAGGATTTCAACCCCTTTACAATCTGTTTTGGTCTACAGATTGCATAACATTATTCTTCTATGTATTCTTCAAGGCTGTAAAATTTCTTCAGCAGTATTTCATTATGAATATGTTTGGGTCTGTATAGATAATGATGGCCAGAAAAACAAGGAAGAGAAACATATACTTTGTACTGGTATTTCATCTGATGATGAACTTCCATTTCATTAAATGAAATGCACCATATGGTGCAAGATACTGTTCTACTTGTTTTTTGCATGCACTTCTTACATCTTCTTTATAATACCATGTGATGGTGGGAAAGGTATTAAGTTGGTTAATATAAAATTTCTGAATTTTTAATGCCAGATCTGCATTTTTGTGACTATATATTTGAATCCATAAATAATTAAATTTACCGTTTGTCTGAGGGATGAATTGATTGACTATGTGTTAGTATTTACATTTGTAACTTTGCAAGGACAAACATGAAGGCTGGGCTGGAGGTTGGCTGAAAATCTGGTCTTGCATATTCTATGAAAACTATTACTCAGATTTCTCACAGGTGAATAAACCATATGCATGAATGAATCTAGTTAATGCAATGGTTTAATAAACCTAGAATCCCAAGGAGGCTTTAACAAATCCCCCTGGCATCTTGGAGTTATGAGAAAGATATATAAAATTATATGCAAGCAGAAGCGCTCTTTCTAAATTTGAGAAGTCTTTTGCACATTATTTTTTTTTGTTCTGTTAACTACATGAAATAAAACTTATCTGTGGCTCAGTTGTGATAAAATGTTAGATCAATTATTGTTTCAGGCCAATATCTGGGACCAAATCGCATCTGACTAGACTTTTTAATTTTTAGTTTTCTTTTGAAACAGCTTTGCAGCACTAAGGTGGTATCTTTCTTAATGTCCCTCTGAGAAAGATGGGTAGCTTCAAGTCAATGTATCTGCATCTCCTTCCTCAGCACCTTGTCATGAGCTTGTCCCATTTTCAGATGTTAAACACATGTGGATCCTGAATCAGACCAATTCTGTCGTTAGAAACAGGAGCTGCAATCTGTCTAGAACTGACTGATTTCACAAAACAATTAGAACTAATATAACTGAATAAATTTAATTATGAATGCTAGATTTAAGGTCATTGTACTCTGAGCTGTGATCTAGACAACTAAAAAATGGGAAGCCCCGTCAGTTCCTGGATGCTAAAACTTCCAGGAAAAAATGATTCTGTGGTTGGTTCCTTTCACTGTGTTTTGATACAGAACTAAAATCCTGTATCAGTGACTATTTTTTTTTCCCCTCAAGTGACATTTATATGTTAGCTATTTTACTGGAATTCACAGGAACTTTACAGGAATAGGATGGCCACTGTAAGAAACCTAGAATATATTGGAAGGTGTATGTATTTTTAGGTGAAAAATAAAGCAGATATTGTGACTACATGTTTTCATGGAAAGATTTCACCATATCTTTAGGAAGAGGAATGTGTTTTTCACACCTTCTGAAATGGGGAACAAGTTCTGCCTTCATTTTCCATTGAATTAAGTAAATCAGGTAAAGCAATGCTGAGTGATGTAAATCGCCTCTTCTCTCAAAGACGCACGTGTAATTTTAGAAATATACTTGGAATACAGTAGCAGAAACTTATATTCAAAATTGTCAATTAGTGATGTTCTGGGGAGTTCAGAGGAAATAAAAATGAAGCTGAAGAAAAGGATGATTGATAGGAAAACTTTCCACTGGATGTGCTACTATATAAAATTGTAATTTTATTAATAGATGAGGGAGAATAAAATGCATGAAATGGTAGCTAAATAGGTGGAAAGCCATAGACTCTGCCCTGGTTTAGATGATCATAAGTATATGAAATTGGAATGCAGCTGGATTGATTGTGATCTGATATTCATTATCCTTCAGCACTGCTGGCAGAATCCTTTCTAACCAAATGTGCATGACATGCTTTCTATGCACTTTCACAAAGCCTCGAGTTTATAATGACAATTAAAGTGCATCTTTTCCGATAATTGCGCAATCTGAATTTGGTCTGTGCTAATAAGCTTTAAGAAAACTTAAAATCCACATTTTAATATGAGCAATCCACTTAATTATAGGTAATCTCCAGCTCTGCATGTCACCTGTATTAGCATTTATATTCCTCATTGAGTCTGCAATATAATTTTCTGTTTATTGTCATGAACATCCTTCTAGTAGATATCTGCAATCTCATGTAGGCCATGACTGGCAACTAGCCAAGCTCTTTATTTATCCTTTGCCTTATTTAGCCCACTGA